CACTAAACGTCGCATCTACCTGATTGAGGTGAAGTACGGAAGGGACGCATGGCCAGAACGACAAGAGGAGAACGCGCAAGACCAATACACCGAGCTCACACAGGTCCTGAAGTTGCGCCCAGGTCAAGAAGTGCAGCTCTACCCCATTGTTCTAGGAGTTGGAGGGACTATTTACAAGGACACAGCCACACTGCTGAAAGACCTGGGGGTCCCACACAAGATCTTGACATCCACACTGCAACAGTTGCACGTTCACGCGGTCAACACACTGCATCACAACATTCAGGCGCGCAGAGCTATTGAGCATGGCCCTGGAGGGCTTGGGAAGAAGCGCAGACGCGCACCGTCAGGAGTGACATAGGGGGACTGGCCCCCTCCCCATCACTTTGGTGGGGGGCGGCGCGGCGGCCTCGGCCCCCGCAAGCCAGCCCCCCTTCCCTTAATTTACGCGGGCTTAACAGCCTGCGTAGTCTCTCTCTCTCTCTCTCTCTCTCTCTCTCTCTCTCTCTCTCTCTCTCTCTCTCTCTCTCTCTCTCTCTCTCTCTGCTTGTTATTGACTTGGTTGCACTGCGCCAGCTGCCAATCCTCATTGCATATGCGTCTACAGGCTGTTTGCCGCGGCTGCGCATGCACCACAACATCACCAGCTGGATGAGCAAGTAAGCAATTATCGATTTACTATCAGCCCGGCAGCGAAGTCATGGTGCACAGACATGGCCCTGGGAACATGCCCTCGAGGCATTATTGCCAGCCCAGAAGATGCTTGCGGTGAGGCGGGCGTGGGCCCTGTGTCGTGCCTGGTGGCTGCTGGACAATGTCCTCGCCATGGCGGGTTGCTACGTATCCAAGAGTCTTGAAAAAGGCACTCACGTTAAAACTCAGAACCTGTGAGGGGAGGGTGGCGGGAGCTTTGAGGATGCAAAGTCACAGAGACGCACAGCCACTCAGCAGTCAGTCAGTCAGTCAGACAGAGATCGGGACAAACAGACACGGAGAGAGAGATCGAGAGAGATCGAGATCGAGAGAGAGAGATCGAGAGAGATCGAGATCGAGAGAGAGAGAGATCGAGAGAGAGAGAGGGAGAGAGAGAGGGAGAGAGAGAGAGAGAGCACTGACGCCTCGCACGTTTGATTAAGGAATTGTGCCAAGTCTCGGTTGTGTGTGTGCGTGCGTGCGTGCGTGCGTGCGTGCGTGCGTGCGTGCGTGCGTGCGTGCGTGCGTGCGTGCGTGCGTGCGTGCGTGCGTGTGTGTGTGTGTGTGTGTGTGTGTGTGTGTGTGTGTGTGTGTGTGTGTGTGTGTGTGTGTGTGTGCGCGCGGGCGCGCACGTGCGCGTCCGCGTGCGTGCGTGTACACTCATGTGTGCGTGTACACACATGTGTGCGTGCGTGTGTGCGCGCACGCGAGTGTGTGCGTGCGTGCGTGTGTGCGTGCGTGCGTGTGTGCATGCGTGTGCGCGCTCGTGCGTGCTTGCGTGCGTCTGTGTGTAGGGGTTGTGGACATGCAACATATGCAAAGTCGTCTTGTTCAAGACAATGTTGCATGCGTGCAATATGCATGTCAGCATGCGCCCTGGTAAGAGTGCATAAATTGGTGTTGCGACAGCAGGTGAATTGGGCCTGCAGAGGTGTCCTTGGGAGTGTGTGCGCTTGGCACAGTGCTGGGAGTGAATGCTGGGAGTGTTGGGACCCAATCTGTGTTGCAGACTTTATCTGAGCAAACAAAGGGGTGGCCAAGTGATTTACTAATTGTAGTGGCCGCAGCTTTTATTGCGCACACCTCTTGTGGGACCTTCATAGTCTCGATCATGTCCTGAGTCACGGTAAATTCTGAGGTGTCTTCATAAATCACCACAGGCATGCTGCGCTTGATAGTTTCCTGCACGATGATTAGTGTTTATGGAAGGTGTGGCTGTGGTTGTAGATCTGATTGCAGTAAGGCAAACCAGCCCGGCTGCAACAGCAGCAGCGACGGTGGCGGCAGCAGCATGCAGCATGTATTGCGCAGCGTGCAGCAGTATGCAGATTCAGTCACGTCAGCCGCGATGGATTTGAGATGCGCATAGGAAATGACTTATTGTCTTATTGTATCTAGGCACGCAGTGCGTGCTTCTAAAGCTGCTGGCGTCCCCCCCCCC